TGAGAGTTTTTGCCAAGCTCCCTTTTTAGTCGATGTATTGACTGACAGGACATGTCTTAAATCAACCAAGAAATGAGAATAAAAATGGGACTTGGATCAAATAGTGGTCTGGTAAGAAAAAACTATTAGAAGCATCAAAGGTTGTGCATGGTGCATTCAGTTCATACATTTCAGATCCATTTATATATGGATCTAAAATGTATGCATTAGTCATACACAAGCCCCAGAGGCTCCAAGTGTCTATTCTACTATTACTATATTTCATGCTTTATTCATTCACTCTGTACTCAGTGGTGGTAAACTGCTGGAGCCACAGACGCTCTGGGGTAAACACATGCACCATCGGCCCCTTTGACCACCGCCGATCAATCACTGACCACATGTCTGAGCGGGGTTGGTGGGTCCAGAGAAGGCAGCAAGTAATGGTGCGAAACTGTGGAAAAGACGGCTGTAAAGCAATGTCCAAGCATGGAATAATTCAAAAGAAAATGCAAGATCATCTAAATAATTTTCAAAAAGTTTAATGAAGAATGCATCTGATGACTACTGGCATGTGATCATTCGGTCTGTTAGTTATTCAGTGTGTAGGCTTTTTGGACACTCATCAAAGTACGTAACCACATCATTACTGTGTAGGCGACCGGTGGGAGAATCATGTTTTATTTCCTCCAACTCCCTTGTCAAACATTTAGATTATTTTAGATTAATTATTGTTGGATTCCTTGTTTTTTTGTTTAACACAATCCAGCGTTTTATGATGAAAAGCTGCTCCTTAAGTTTCCTTACGATCTCTTTTATAGAGCTGAGATATTTTTATGACTTACTGTTTTATTTTTACTTGAACATACTGGATACATTTATATAATTATGCCTATGTCTCTTGCTGTCTTTTTTGCTATTTATTTTGAATTTTTGTGTGTTTTGAATCGCAAATATAGGCGGTCGAAATGAGTTTCCTCCGCAGCGTGGTTGGGCGCTCCCTTAGAGATAAGGAGAGGAGCTCAGTCACTTCGGAGGAGCTCGGAGTAGAGCTGCTGCTCCTCCACCTCGAGAGGAGTTAGTTGAGGTGGCTCGGGCATTTGTTCCGGATGCCTCCTGGACACAGCTCTCGGGAGATGTTCCGGGCATGTCCTAACAGGAGGAGGCCCCGAGGAAGGCCCCAGGACACGCTGGAGGGACTATGTCTCTCGGCTGGCCTGGGAACACCTCTGGATCTCCCCGGAGGAACTGGAAGAAATGTCCTAGATGAAAGAAGTCTGAGAGTCGCTGCTTAGACTTCTGCCCCCATGACCCAGCCCCGGATAAGCGGAAGAAAACGCATGGATGACTAGAATTTTTCATTACTATTTATATTTTTACTCTTTTGTTATTATATTATATTGTGATCTGTGAGGTATTGTGTCCAAGTAATTTCCCTTGTGGATCAATAAAATCTAAGTCTGTTTTTAAATTACTGTTTGATTATTTATTTTAGACTTTTGATTATTGTAGATTATTTAATTGAATTTTTAAAAACAGTATAGGTGTATTATATTTTATTAGTATGTAAAATGCATCTACATGAAGAAAGAAAGAATCATAAAAAAAAGTGTTTTGCCCAAAGACACAATCACAGCCACAATAACACACATGCCTTTAACCGGTAAGCAAGTCCCCTGTGCATTTCTGAGGTCCACACACCTACGAGCTTTGTTGCAATTATGATTTAACTGGCTTTTCTTTCAGAGACATATGTCTGAGACCATCAAAACGGTATTCTAATTAGCTCATTTCACACGCTCTTCTTCCCACTGTTGCTTTCTTACGTTTAACATTATTATATTGCTGCAAAGTTCACCAAAGTTAACTTCCTCCAGACTTTTTAAATACAATACATCCCATCCGTTTTCAGCGTGACACGTTTAGGTAAAAATGATTGAAACAAAAAGCCTTTAAACAGCGCACTGCATCGTGATTGTCAGCAAATCAAAAAAAAAAAAAAAAATGCATATGAATTCCTGAAATCTCACATACCCAAACAGTCCTCTCGGAATTGCTTTTGAACACACGAGACAGCGGAGGAAAAGGAAATCTGAGTTCTTCCGAGACATATCAACGAGCAGGTGGTGCCATGAACAGGCGCGTTTGAAATACAAGCGCACCATCTCCACGCCGATTACATCCAATAATCTTCAAAGTTCACACTCCATTGAAAAGTCTAAACATGACAGGGGATTGTGCTCTAGGCGGTGGCTGCCTCACAGAGATACAGGGAAGCACCTCGTAAAGACGGCAGTAAATAATGGATACGATATAGTTAGTAGGAACATGTTCTGTTTGCAATTAAAAGTCCAAAATTGACTCTTGTGAGGTTTGAGTCATGTTATAATGTTGTTACCTCATCAAAAACAGACCTGGAGTTGTGTTTTGTTTCATTAGTAATCTTAGTTTTCAAGTTAACAGCTCCTTTTACCTTTTGTTTAGGAGAGATTGGCAATTCCGGGGCTGAAATGATCCAAATGATTCTAGTGAATGTGCATGGAGTTTAAAAACACAGTCGTATCACATGACATCACAAGGTGGAACAGAGTGTTTTCCATTTGAGAGAACTCAGCGTAAATCTGCAGGGTTTGTGCGTTAAATATGTGTGAATGAAACAAAACACAACTCCAGAATCCGTGTATCATTCGTTCATTCGTTTTTCAAAATAAAACCAAAAATAAGAAAACGAAAAAAACAACTATTTTCTTTATTATTTGTCTCCAAAACCAAAATGAACCAAAAACAGATAAAGATCATTTTTTTCAGTTTTGTGTTTAAATGAATTATGGAAAAAAATAGATAAACTTAAACTGCGATGACAAACTTTTGCGCCGCATACAGACTGAAACAGGACTGAACCAGGACTAAACCAGGTCTAAACCAGGACTGAACCAAGACTGAACCAGGACTAAACTGGTCTCAGTCCTAGTCTTAGTCCTGGTCTGGTCCCAGTCTGGTCCTGGTCTGGTCCCGGTCTCAGTCCTGGTCTCAATCCCGGTCTGGTCCCGGTCTCAGTCCTGGTCTCAGTCCCGGTCTGGTCCCAGTCTGGTTCTGGTCTGGTCCTGGTCTGGTCCTGATCTCAGTCCTGGTCTCAATCCTGCTCTGGTCCCAGTCTCAGTCCCGGTCTGGTCCCGGTCTCAGTTCTGATCACCTGACAGTCTACTCCTGGCCCATCCCGACACTCGTTCAGTCTTGGATCAGTCTTGGATCAGTCCAGGTTCAGTCCAGGTTCAGTCCAGGTCCAGCATTGCAGTTTAAGTCACTTATCCGTTTTTTCCATTATTCATTTAAACACAAAAACTGAAAAAAACAAATCGGTATCAATTTTTTCGTTTTGGTTTTGGAGACAAATAATGAAGAAAATAGTTTTTTTGTTTTCTTAGTTTTGGTTTTATTTAAAAAAAACGAACGATACACAAATTCTCCAGGTATGTTTTTGATGAGGAAAAACACAATAACGTAGATCAGAAAATCTTGTAATATGGGCCCTTTAAATCAATAAAGATGCACAATAGGGAAATCGCTAAATCTGCAATGTTTTAAGTTTATAATTTCTATCACAAAATGATTCTGAAAGTAACTCTGCTAACCCTGTTGTTTATTTTTGTACAAACATGTTATAGTTCTAAATGTGATTCTTGTATTAGTTTGTCAGCTCATATTTCATTCTTTTTATCTTTGTCAGAAAACTTTTAGCAATTAGATCACTTTCTAAAGTAGTTCAAACATAATAATTCAAATTTTGTCTGTTGGTGTCAAAATCATTCATAGATTTGTTTATTTACTTAGCAAGTCAGAATGAATCTTTCTGCTTATTCTTACTATTAATCATCTTGCAGGATTTGTTTCATTTGCATTTGTTGTTTCCTTTGTTGGGGTTTGGGACCAGCAAGAAAAGGCTGCATGTGGACTTGTGATCTCTTGAGGCCAATTTTGTAAGCAATGAGCAAAAGGAGCAATAGTGATTTTGTGTGACCTCCCCACACTGACACAGGCTTAATCTGATCTGGGCAACCGTTGAGGCCTGTGTAAACATGGGCTATTGATCAGCGCTATCAGCCACTTTGCAAGATTCCAATTAAAGGCACACTGATCTTAATGGATCGTACAGATTCTTGTCCTAGCGGTTTCATTTGTGTTACAGTGTATTTAATTGTCTGTTTTGTTTTTTTTAATCTTTGTTATTCCATGTTTGTTTATGTTTATTACAATGTATTTTGTGTTCATAATAAGAATCCTCAACAAGTGAAAGACTGGATTCAAAACAATAGGGAGTCTAAATTAAAGTTTGGTCTACAGCTTCCCTGCAAGAATGCTCCCAGCAAAACCAGAATTAGTTTCCCCACATAAAGACACTGGCCCCAGTGCACAGTGTTTGGCAAATCTCTGGATACAGGGCACTTGGCTCTGGGACCTTGTCTTAAGTGCACTCAAATCTCAGTACAACAGAGCTGAAATCAACTGTAATAAAGCAGAAAGGTAGGACTGTATATCAGGTTACATTAGATCTGAATCACTCCTGGGCTTTCTTTCCATGAAAGAAAAAAAAAATCTCTCTGATGAATATCTCGGACACGTGCATTTTTTAGGCTCTGGCACGTCTCCACGCTCCTGTCTGCGCATACTTCCACAGATTCGTGTTTGAACATGAGGCACCGGGCAATGTGCTGTCACATCACTTTATAACAACAAGACGCATCTGCGCGGGGCTGAGCGAGCGCGAGCCGACTGCACTTAGAAAGAATACAGTGATTTCACTGAAGTTGAGTTGTAAAAAGGATAAGTGGATTACGTGGAGAAACCAGGCGTTCTCGTTACGCACTGGAGCGCAAGAAAGGCAACGGGTTTCAGCTGAATTAGGACAAGTCTATGCTTCACTTTTAGAACAAAGCCAAAAATACATCAAAGTATAACGGTATAGGAAAGCACGAACATGCCCAGGGCATCCTTTAACGTCGCGTGTGCACCATGCGTCTTACCTGCCGTCAAACTCTGCACTTGCTCCAAAGAAGCAGCTGTACAACAACAATAACTTTATCCATAATTCCATGGTGTGGAGCGTCCGCGTTTGGGTTCAAACAGTCAATATATTTCCAAAGTCTCAGTTCAATGTAAAAGGAAAGAACACAATGTGTGGGACAAAGACTGGAGGCACGCGCTCCTCGCTCCTCAGCAGCGCTGTCCAGAGCAGCAGAAGCCCGTGCGCTGCCTGGACTGTGTGACCCGGACTGGAGCCGTACGCACTCTGTTGGGCACGCGGCGCACAGCTCTCCGTGTCTCGCACAAGTTGAGTCGGAGCTCCTGAATGAAAGAACAGCTCCCACCGCGGTCAGAGCGGGACTCCTGCTCCACTCCACACAAGGCGCGCACCCACAGGCGCACCGCGGCTGGACTTCACCGTGACGTCAGGAGCGAGCACGGGCGCGCTTCGGGATTGGCTGAGCTCGGGCAGACGCAGCTGTTTTGGAAATGCTTTAATTAATGGTGAAGCCTGCTGAGACAAGCGGACACCGGCCACCCAGGTAGAGGTGCGCGCTGAGATGGAGACGATATTTACGATGGAGCAGCGGAACACTGGGAGATACAAAAGACCTGACACCTACAGACTGTGAAGAAGATGCAAATGAGTCTGTGATGGTTCGAAGGGCAATTGATTAGAGGTCCTATATTACACAAAATGGATTCTTGTGAGCTTCAAGTCATGTTAGAATGGTGTTACATCCCCAAAAATGTACCAGAAGTTGTATTCTGTTTCATTCACACATGTTTGAGTAATTCTTTATATTAGTCTGTCTACATCTCCAGAGCTCAAAATGCTCTGTTCCACGTTGTGATGTCATGTAGTGAGAGTTTTCAAGTTAACAGCCACCTTTTACTTTTTGTTCAGTAGAGATGAGCAAATCCAGGGCTGAAATCATCCAAATGATTCTAGCGAAGGTGTATGGAGTTTAAAAACACAGTGGAGCACTTCCTGTCTTCCATTTGAGAGCATGACGCAGCGTAAATATGCAGGGTTGGTGTGTTAAATATGTTTAAATTAAACAAAACAAAACTCAAAGTATGTTTTTGATGAGGAAACAACATGATAACATAGATCAGAACATAGTGTAATATGGGCCCTTTAAGATCAGCATTGCTTTTAACACAGCACATCGTTCTGTTGCATTTTCACTAACTGAGCTGGAGTCTGTTTTTCACAATAAAACAGAGAAGTTGCCCATCATATAGCTGCTGTGCGGGGAAAAGAGGTGCTGTTCTGATCACTGTGAGTCACCTGCACCGCTGTGTTTAAGTGTGAGGCTCTTCCTGTGAGGCAGACTGACTAAACATGGCACGTAACCCAATTTGTTTTTGGTAGATTATCTCTTTGTTGCAAAAATGTTTCTCTGCTATAAATCTCTGACTGTTGGCAAAATGGTTTTGTTTTTGTAGATTAAGAGGTCATATGAATCAAATAGGAAACAATGGAGAATAAATTGCATGACGTGGACAGGCTTGGGAATGTTTTCATTGTATATGATCTATGCTGTAATGTTGTTTCATTGTCAACAAATGTTTAACACACAAATCCTGCATATTTAAGCTGTGCTCTAACCTTGCATTCCAACATGGTTTCTCACGATATTTGTGACTTCACAAACTCATGAGAATCCATCTCGAAGGACACCCACTGTACGGTTAGTTGAATGGGCGACCAATCACAGAGTAGCATTGAGGTTTGTGGGTAAGCCAAAGACCAAGCGCCCAAACAAAGCAAAACAAACACGGCGACTCTGTCAGACATACCTTTATCGTCAATACAGACTATTTAGTTTGTGAAAAATGCGCAGAAGTGAATCAGTTCGTGCTTGTGTGGACAGAGAACATGTCTGTGCTTTTCTCTCAAATGGATGTAAAAAAAAAGGTTCGACTTTTCATCTTGTTGTGACGCTTCGACCAATCACATTCAAATAATCATCGTGATGTTGTGAGTTTTCTGATCTCTTTCAGGGAGATCCGCTCCAGACCGGTTCAGAGCGACACACATATCAGTTTGGTGTGAGCCTGGTTAGCTGTGCTCTTCTCTCAAACTGAAAACACTCTGTTCCACCTTGTGACGTCATGTGGTAATACAGGAAGTGCTCTTTTAAACTCCATACACCTTCACAAGAATCATTTGGATGATTTCAAGCCTGGAATTTCCAACATGTACTGAACTGAAGGTAAAAGGAGCTATTAACTTGAAAACTACCACTTCATGACATCACAAGGAGCAGAGCATTTTGAGTTTGGGAGATGCAGACAGACGAATAACGCAGCTTTACTCAAACGTGAATGAAACAAAACACAACTGCAACACAATGTATGTTTTTTTCAGTTTTATTATCTTCAAGAGTCAAGTGGAGATAACAAAAACATTTAGATCTGTCAATATCTGAGTATGGCAGAGAAAAAAACAAGTCCAAAGTGCTTGAGTTTGCCCCGGTGCTTTGATAATTACTGTAGGAGGTTTACAGTCAGTGACAGCTCGTGATACATGGGACTCTTGGCCAGTTCCACCCCGTCACCGATTTGATCCAAACGCACAAACCGCTAACATCTCCGGAGGCAGCTGATTGGACCGAAGCTGCCTGGGTATAATTAGCCTATTAATCTTCAAATTTCCACATTTCGAGTATGGGATTTCAGTCTGATTGATTACACTTTAAAAGATGGGCACAGGTAATACGAGCCGGTGGAGCTGTGCCTCATTACCAAACATATCGATATTTTCTGAGAGGATGAAAAATGCCAAAAGCAAATCTTGGAATTTGTCTTTAGAAATGTCAATGTTGAGCTGAAAACTTTTTGACTATCAAGCTTTTAATGAAGTCTAAAGGGACATATGGAAAACGAAGCTTGGCAGAAGTCGGCATAGTTTAAGTTTAAGGACTTTTTGTGATTTGAGGACATGTTATACCACAAAAAGAATATCGGCATGAACTTTGGGGAAAGTTCTGTCATTAATAGAATTACTCTAAATGATGATGAATTTGATACTGCAGCAAAGTGTTTAAAAAGAACGTGGAAAAATAGGAATGTGTTTTTGATTCAAAACTTGGAAGAATCTCTGACTTAATAATATACAATTTGTTTTCTTCAAATAAAAGAAATAAAATCAGAAAGCTATTTATATGTTCTGTTCAGGGTACAGTGTGTAAGACGTCTAGACAGACAGAGAGGTAGGTTATTGGTTATATAAGTTTTGCTTTGCCTGGAATGTTCCACAGTATGGCATTAGGCATTATCTTATTTATTCTATTACAAGTGTGTTTATAGCTCAGAAACACCTTGAGAAAAATGGATTCTTGCAGTGAACAAGGCCACCTCTCCACAGATCTGACCTGTAACCTGGCCTGGTGGTGTCTCCATGGAGACAGAGAAGTTCAATGCAAAGCTGTCGAACATTCCAGGCAAAGCAATAACATATTTGTGAAAATAAGCAGGTGGCGTATAGCTAGTCTGGTGCCACCTAGTGCCTCTGCTCAATTTGATTTCTCTCCAGCGACTAGGTCAGGAATCAGAATACACTAGACGGTTTGCAAGGATCCCGGAAGTTGTAGACCGCGCACCGGCCAATCAATGAAGAGCTGTGAAGACGTGACGTCAAACTCAAGGTCTGGGTCCATTTTGTGGTACAGCACAACAGTAAACAAAGCGGTGCAGATGGATGTAGACGAAGACAGATATTCTGTGTTGGCATCGATTCCTGAGTTCAAGGATTTTCACTCTCTGCTTTGTTTGCTGTTGTGCCAGCGATTACACCACTGAGCGTTCTGGTCCATTACAGACATCACGAAAATAGCAGCGATTGCTTAAATTAAAAAAGTACCTGCCTACCGTTGAGCGAATGAATCCTAATGCTGCGAGGTCAAGCAGTGTCCACAAAGTGAAACCGGCTGATGAATCAGGGTAGGTGGTGGACCCCTCATCAAAAAAGTTGTGAGAGAAAGTGAGAAAGTGAGAGCACGTACAAGACAAATACAATGTACAGTAACAACAATATCTACAGAATGACTTGGAAATGAACGTATTCATGTATTCTGAGACCTTTGCTGAGACGTCATGGCAACAACAGTCAGTAACCAGGAACCTTGAATAAGTATCAGAGAATAATGAAGATGGAAGATCATTTGTTTCATTAGCATTTTAAATGCTAATGGATTTCTCACTTTGAATGTTTTAACTCTGAAAAGACATGTTTGAATTATTTTCATTCTGAATTTCAGTGAATGACAATTTAATTATAAATTTAAACTGCATTTAAAGATGAAAAAAAGAAACAAACAAACAAAAAAACACCATTTATCATTCAACACACAAAATTCAGAGTGTAAGATTTGCAGTGAAAATATTCGCAGATGCCAAGGCATAAGCAATTGATTGTGTGACTGAGGACGGGTTGTTTCCTATTAGACCTTATTAAAAAGGCTTTGTTTATTAATTCTGACCAATCACAGTGGCTTCGAGCATTTCCTGGTTGTTACCTAAGTTAGATTGTTCATGTCTTGGCATCTTAGATTTTGCTGCAAAAAAAAATTCACTGCAAATTTTACACTCTGACAGTTGATTTTGAGGGTTTGAAAATACAGTCGTGGACAAAATTGTTGGTATCCCTCTGGTAAGCCAAAGTGGACTTCATGTGAGAACACCACTGTTGAGAGCAAATCATAAAAAAGTAAGACTGGAATTTGTCACAATGCATACTGACAAGCCATAAAGCTTCTAGGAGAATGTCCTTTGGACAGATGACACAAAACTAGAGCTCTGTGGCAAGACACATCAGCGCTATGTTCACAGCACACCAAGAAAAGAACACTGTTCCTACTGTGAAGCACGGAGGAGGCTTGGTTTTGTTCTGGGGCTGTTTTGCTGCATCTGGCACAGGGTGTCTTGAATCTGTTTAAAGTACAAACAAATCTCAAGACTATCAAGGTATTTTGGAACATCTTTGAAATGAGCTGAAACATGCATCTGGAGAAGGAACCCTTCAAACCTGAGACAACTAGAGCAGTTTACTCACAAGAAATAGATCAAAATACCTGTTGACCAGTGCAGAAGTCTCATTGACAGTTACAGAAATCATATGTTTGTAGAGTTTGCATCAAAAGATTGTGCAACAAAATATTAAGTTAAGGGTACCATCATTTTTGTCCAGGACAGTTTCATTATTTAGTTTTTTCTAATAATTCTGTTGAACCACAGGTGAAATACAATGTTTGATTTTTGTTGGACAATTTTCAATAAATTTTTATTTATTATTTCTTTTCTCAGTTTCAAGTTATTTCAGTGATTATTGTTGCTTTTTCTTTCATTGCCAGAGGGGTACCAACAATTTTGTCCACATCTGTATATGTGTAGATTTAAAAAAAAAAGGTGCATCGTGTAACTTTTCATGCTTTTCTCGATGGAGATATTATTATGTTGTCTGGAATGTTTCAGAGTATGGCATTAAACCTTTCTATCATCATGGAGACCAGACCAAGATCGGATCAGATCATTGGAGAGAGTCGTTAAATGTCATACTGTGGAACAGTCCAGAGCAACGACAAATCCATGGAAACAACAATGATGGACCCACAAACCAAAAAGTTACATAGTGCACCTTTAAGATTTCATTAAAAAAATAATTAAAACATGTTTTTTCAGAGTAAAAAAAAAATCAGAGTGAGAAATTCAGCTGCATTTAAAATTCAAACTCTGATGAAACAAATGATCTTCCATAAACTAATATAAAGTTTGGAGAAAGTTTGCAATGTACCTTGAGCTGCTCCAAAAATCCATTAACTGACACATGTAGGAGTTTTTGATGATGTTTCTCTTCTGCCTGAAAACACACCAAAATAAGATCTAGTTATTTGGTTATATTTGATTATTTGATTATTATATACTATTGACACCCATATGAAGAAACCATTTTAGCTGCAGTGTGAGGCCTAATTTCAGTTTTGTGAACACACTGTACCCACCTTAAGCTTTATTCACACAGGTCACAGCAGTCATCTTCTGGAGAAAAATTCCATTCTCACCTTTGACTGGAGGATCCAGGGAGTAGACCATATAGCGCCTTCCCCCTTCCCCCTTCCCCCTTCCCTACTCGGACCAGGGAGGACTCATCAAAATTCCCCCCACACAGTCACTCTCTGCTGGGTGAGAGTTGCAGATACAGCCCCTTCTATAGACTGGATTGATTTGGGGAGGAGAAGGCCAGTCACATTCTTGATGGTTGGAGATCTATGTTTCAGATAAATGGAATGAATTAATGAAAAGATGACAGATTTGACAGAAGCTAAACATGGATTTTGTGTTCCAGTTTGATGTGTGTGTGTGTGTGTGTGTGTAAGTTGTTTATTTTTACGGCCTGTATTATTGGGTAAGCTCCAGTCATAGCACAGAACAAAAATGATATGAACATAAGTCGCTGCATGAATCTGTAGCAGTGGGTGCAATATAAAGCAGTGGCGGCTGGTGGTATCATTTTTGGGTGTTTAGTGTTTACTGGCTAAAGCCTGGTGATGGCAGCTCAGCACATGCGGCAAGCAACCCGCCGAGCAACCTGCCGAGCAACCCTGCGTCCGGGAGCCGAGTGCATCAGCTGGTTGTAAAACTAGTCTTAATCTCACTTAAATCTGAAATTTATACCAGTACATATTAGCACAAGGGCACCAGGTGGAATTAAGCCCTCTCCTAGCAGCGGCAGCAGGTGCTCCGAGTCCCAGCGGCAGCTCTGTGTCTGTGTATCCGCTGCTCTGGGCTTGATTACTGATGTCTCTCCCTCGCACTCTCCTGTCTGGAGATTAAGGTTAAAGTAGCTAGCCACCTCTTGCCAGTGTGTGAATAGGATTTCACCGCAGCCAGATGCACGCTTTTCTTCCTTAGCATAAGCATCCCGCTGAAGAGAAGACATATTACTCCCCAAAAACTGTTCCTCGGACACAAGTTGAACTCACAATAGCTGTATAGTACACAGTTCTGTTGTTATCCATTCATTAGCCTGTAGAAGTAACATGCTGCCAGTGGAGAGTGGGAACTTGTTGGGAGAGTGAGCAGCTGAATCATAATAGGTCAGGTGTGTGATAAACGTTTATGAAGACCAATCACTTTATTTGAGTTCACTCTGAGCTACGCCCCAAGACGTACTTCATACTTTGAATACTTTAAATCCAGAGAAAAGCACAGACTTCTTCCCTATCCATAATTGCACAAAGCGCTTTCTTCTACAGGTTTTCTACAAACAAAATAGTCTGTATTTCCACTAAAATATGCTGAAGTTCGACTGTTGGCATTGCCATGTTTGCTTTAGTTTGTTCGGCGCTGGCTTCCTCCCAAACCACAGTTCTGCCCTGTGATTGGTCAGGTTCAGTGGCGTGGGACCAATCACATGCAAACGATTCATCCGCAGCTGTTCAAGAGTTTGTGAAGTAACAAAAATTGTGAAAATTCATTGTGCTGCCAACTCTAATTTATAATTTATCAGTGATTGTTGTCTTATATAGGTTTTATGTTATAATTCATCCAGGCCTGTACAATGGAATAATAATTTCACACAGACTGTTAAAGGTTTGAGTCCCTCTGTAAATCAGATGAAGAAATTGTGCTGTGCCAACAAGACATTTAATCCTGCTTTCCTCATTCTACCGTTTCCTGAGCACAAACTGAAACTGGTCTGTGAGAAACTTCAAAACACACTTAGACATTCTGCACATGAGACACCACTCTCCTCTCCATTATTTCCTCATCTTCTCTGTCCTTTTAAATAATTTCCATATTATTAAATCCTGGACAATTTCACATAAATGGGATGTAATTGGTTCAAAGGGAATAATTCTGGACTTATTAAATGTGCCATCCACTTTAACATGATCAAGATGGTGAATTTGTTTATCCAGGTGTTCTGTATCTCACGCATTCTGTTCAATGATGTATTCACAACTGGCAGTGATTCTGACCCATTACATGACACCACATTTATTAACGCAAGGTCCTAACAAGGCCAAACATTCTCTGGGCATAATCGTTTATTTGAGTCTCTTCACTATTTCCTAGTGAATTTGCAGATTGCCGAAGATTGCGTCAATAGTGCAACTTCTTTCTACCGTTCCAACAGCGGTATTTGCACGTTTATGTATTTAAATTTGAAGAGAAAGCTTCAGCTCATCCACTCATTATTGTGAACAGACTGACATTTTTACAAAAGCTTAATGAAGGCAACTGAAAACAAATACAAATGTTTTTCTTTTTTAATGAATGAGCACTCTGAAATTCTTTAACATTTTCAGTTTTTTTTTTTTCTTTTTATATATAATTTTCCTTGTCAAACCCTACACAAGTGTGAACAGTCTGAAAACAATCTACTTACTCACATAAGATGGAACTCTACAGGTGCATTGTGTAACTTTTCTGACGGATTGTCCATCAAATGCGTGTTTCGATGGAGATGTTATTGCTCTGTATGGTAGTGAACCTTTCTATCTTCATGGACACCAAGCCAGACCAAGCTCCGTGTAAGAATGTATGTTCAAGGTATTTTCAAGCTATAAGAAGCACCTGTAATTAACCTGAAACACACCAAGTATCTCATGCAAGTATCTCCATGGAAACAAGGCTATTTTACAGGTCAGATCTGTGGAGTTAAGTCAACATGCCTGTTTTTCTAGGTATTTGTGAGCTATGAAACCACCTTTGAAACCACCTAAGGTAAAGTTGTTTTAATGTCATACAGTGGAACATTCTAGGCAGAGCAATGACAAGCCATAGAAACGAGCAGGTGACAGACTCCCGACCAAAAAGTTACACAAAGTTTACTGTAGTGTTGTTGTAACCGAGACCGGTCTTGGTCTCGAGACCGGCCTCAAGACCCCTTTTTTACAGTCTTGGCTCCTCTCGGACTCAGGCTCATTAGGACTAGCACATTTGGTCTTGTCTCGGTCTTTAAGGGCCTAGGACTCGGTTTTGTTTCGGACTGAGGTCTGACACTTGACGAGTGCGATCGTATTTCACTACGGCCCGTAAATGTGCAGATTTGCTAAATATCACTGCAAAACCTGTAAGATAATGTCACTGTAAATGTTATGAACTTGAAAAAAATAAAACTTTCTTCACTTTGAAGCAGTTTTCTGTAAAGTGCCAGTTGATGTTGGATTAAATAAGGGGTTCTCAAACTGTGGGTGAGGGTCTAAAAAAAAGCACAGAGTGTTTAAGTGCAGTACAGTTTGCTTAGGCTATTTTAAGCCTAAATGAACATTAATCACATAAAATGGAGATACATTTATAAAAACATTGATATATATGTGCCGAAATAACCGTAAAATACAAATAAATGCAGGAAATGACAAAGATGGTCTTGATTTGGTCTCGATGGTCTTAGTCTCATCTCGGTCTGGACCCTCAGAGGTCTTGGTCTTGTCCTGGTCTCGGGACCCTGTGGTTGCGGACTGGTCTTTATCTCGATTAGAGCGGTCTTGACTACAACAGTAATGCAGTACTGCACCTTTAACATGACATTTCAGTAATCAGATAACTCGAGAAATCAGAAAACAATCAGATTTTGGTGTGGATGTAAACAGAGCTGTAGAGCTGTACCAGGTGTTTTCTTTCTCACAAACAGGACAATTGCGTCTCAAAGTGCTTATTTCATTACACCGTTGTCATGGGGACAGTGGCACCGGACATTCATTTAATTTCATTTTATTTTCAAACAGGGAAACATAAACATTAATCAGGCCTGACTCGGTTAAAAAAAAAACTGTTTTCAGCAGCATCCGCAGAATAGGACAGAAAACTTTCATATCAGAGCGGACAACCTCAAAGACACCACACTACCCACACACTCCGGATCACAGTGAATGACAACAGGTGCAGCCTTCAGCAAAAAGTCTGAAAATGCCTTTTTAGAAAACGGACATCAGAGCTACATTAGTGCTGCTCACAAATCAGAGTTGCTGTTAGCTCAAAAATAACAACCAAATGCAGAATATTTGTGTGTGTGTGTGTGTGTGTGTGGTTTACTCTTCACACATTATCATGTCTATTAAATGGCAGATTAAAGGAGGAAGAAGCAGCGGTAGGTAAAAAATTCTGATCTCACTTCGGTGGGAACTATGGCTGCGTAATTAATCACGTTTTAATCTAAAAAACAATCATTTCTAATCACGGGTGATATGCTTGGGGCTTTTTAATCGACAAGTCTGCGTCCAAGCATGTGGTTTGGAGACAAGCTCAGACTTCTTTTTAAAATGAAAACTGACAGTCATGTGCATTTCTGTGCTTTATGAGACAACATGACATTAAATTTAAGATCATGACTGAACAAAACAACAAACATCAGCTCTTATGTCAGGGGCCCGTCAAAGTAGCTCGCCAAAGGATTTCTGAATTATCTGAATGACTCAAATTTGATGAATCACCATTGTAAATGTATCACTCCGTGCAATAACACATGGATAATGGTGAATGTTTTATAGGCATCTTACTGATCTTATATATTCAGTTCTTGCGACCGCTAAAATGAGTAGCTCTGGCATTTTCGTTTTGTAAAGAGAGCTCACTGGAGGAAAAAGGTTGGGGACCCCTGTTATTTGTCTTATCACCCAGTTTTACGGTGAATTTACTGGGTTTCTATTGTAATGTTTTAATTTTCTTTCTTTTTTTTTATTTCTCCGAATACTTTAAGCAATGGCAAGATTACCTTTAAATGCATTTTTGAAAAGGTCCTATATTACACAAAATGAATTCTTGTGAGTTTTAACCCTCCTGCACCCCTCGGTACATTTTTACACATCTCAGCTTTTCTTTTTTGCATAACTTTGGCTATATTGCACCAAATAGCACTAAAATGGCCAGTTTGTGTATTTTGTGATGTATTTTTAATTTCTGTGTTTTCTTTCAATATCACATTAATTGAACCCATTGACTTCCATTCAAACTGGCTTTTTTTTACTGGCATAACTTTACTGGTATATTTTTACTTTTTGATTTATTTTTCATTCTTTGGTGTTGAAAACCCTTCAAAAATGTTTTAGTGTGTTTTTGAAATTTTTGATATTTTTCTTTTTACTCTGTATCTTCCATTACAAGGTTATATCAATAGAAAGACATTTGTGTCATTAGTCCACACTGAAGGCCAGAGACAGATATTTGAGGTGAAAATGATTTTTTTTTTTTTTCATGCACATAATTTGAGACTTTTGCTGTCAAAATAGGCATTTAAGGGGTTAAAATTTCTAAATATTATATAATATGTGGTATGTATGATTAGAGCAGAAGTAAATGAAGACACTCCAATGAGATTCATTTGGTCTTCCGATATTTTATGTTATTAGTTTCTATTTTGAGACCTAGAGGTTTGTTTTCATACCTGACAGTTTCGACTGCTCACTAGCGGTCTTCCTCAGAGTGGTCACGTGATGTCTGGTCAGCTGATCACACACCTGGGATACTGTCCTGAGGAAGTCGGACTGTAGATGGCGCTGTCATCCTGCCTCCACCGGTAGGAAGGCAGCGCCAAAACCTGTTTAAATCAGCTGACCAGACACGTCACAGCAACATCACGTGACCACTCTGAGGAAGACCGCGAGTGAGCAGTCGAAACTGTCAGGTATGAAATAAAACTCTAGGTCTGAAAAAAGAACCTAATAACATAAATGAAGACACTGTTATAAAAAAGTTGGACAAAAATCCGTACTGCATAAAAATATTGTGGTATTCTTTTCCAGTGTACATTTTTGTCATGACGGACCACAGGTGTGATTATTTTAAAGGGATGCACAAGAGGCCAATGAGGTTTGGTCTTCCGATATTTTATGTTATTAGGTTCTTTTTTCAGACCAAGAGTTTGTTTTCATACCTGACAGTTTTGACTGCTCACTAGCGGTCCTCCTCAGAGTGGTCACGTGATGTTGCTGTGACGTGTCCGGTCAGCTGATTTAAACAGGTTTTGGCGAAGTCTTCCTACCGGTTGGAGGCAGGACGACAGCGCCATCTGCAGTCCGACTTCCTCAGGACAGTATCCCCGGTGTGTGAGAGTAAAAAAGCCCTCTCGTCCTAGTTTATAGTCCCGTGGGCACATTTTGATATTAGCCTATTTAATCCAGCGACGATGTTTGTTTTCTTCTGTCCCAGTGATGTTTGCGCCGTCCCAGTCCATAATGTGGTTCTCTCTTTAATAGTGCAGAGACAGACGATTTGAGTTGTTCCTGTTCTGCTTTGTGTTTTGTTGCTTGTGCGCACGCCTTCGCTGTTTCCTTCTCACATTCTGTTCTATGTTCCTTTTATCGTGTACTGAATACCCTCCCTGATGTTTCCCTGATGTATGTTTTATTGCTTGACATGATGCTCAAGAGTTAAGCCATGTTATAATGTTACTACCTCCTCACAAACAGACCTGGATTTGTGTTTTGTTTCAGTCACATGTTTGAGAAACCCTTTATTATTAGACTGTCTACATCTCCTAAATCAGCCTAAATATGCAGGATTTATGAAAGAAACAAAACACAACTCCTGGTATGTTTTTTTTTTATGAGAAAACATTATAACGTAAATAAGAAAATAGAGTAATATGAGCAGTTTAAACATGACCCTATCTTATATTCATTAATCATTCATTTCCCAAGAGTCAAGACCTCATGAAATAATGTTCCCCTTATCGCATGTAGTGTAGTAGTACCTCACATTTTAAGGTTTAAAGATCTCACACTGCAACATCTAATCAAGCTGCTGACCTATTCCCCAGCACTATAAAATATTCATTTGGGCTGAACGCATTACTGGATCTATAGCATGGACACATCCATTCTTTATGAGCCATAATCACACTTTCTCCACAGACCCGTGACAAATATTTGAAATGTGATTGAGTTTAAAGCCATTTTCTCATTTCGACAGTGTGCTCAGTGAGGCGTTGGCAAACAGGCTAGTGGACAAGGCAGCTAATAATTGGTCCCATCTCGTCATTGTGTGCAAATGAATTTCAGACACTGTCAATTGGCTGAATGACTAGAGGTTTGAAATGGTAGGTGTTTTATTATACATGCAGGAAGTCTTGGAAACTAGTATTATTGTACGACTATTGATTTAAAATGCCAATGTAACACAGCAATTTCTTTTAATAAAATAATTCTTCAATGAAATGGTACCAGAAAAGTAAATAAACTTGGATTTCCATGACTCTTGGGCAGATTACCTAGACTTATATTGATTTGATGTGTAGACCAATCCTACACTTAAAGAGATTATTATGTGAAATCGATTTTTTTCTTTAGGTATCCACCATGTTGTTTCCTTATCAAAAACGTGATTAGGCTTTAAATGTCATCCATGTAGGTTGAACTATTTTGGCGATCTCTCCTGGGCTCTATTCCACCCCTTCTTACGTTAGCTGTAAGGTTCAGTTCAGTGCTCAGCTCACAGCCTACGTCACCCATGCTCCCACATGACAATTCTCCAAAAATATACAAAAATATGAAACAAAATTGCACACAGCAGCTTGACAAACCTGAGGAGATGGGTTGTGATAGCGCTCTGAAGGGGGAGTGACTTAACATGGTGAGGAAAGGGAGTGAAGACTGGTGTCGTAGTACTCAAGAATGGTCTTGGTCTCGTCTTGGACTCGAGCGCATTTGGACTCGGTCTTGTCTCGGTCTTGAAGGTGCATATAATTCGTTCTTGTCTCACTTTTGAAGGCGCTTGGACTCGGTCTTGTCTCGGTCTTGAGATCTGACGGTCGTCGAGTGCGATCATGTTTCATTACGACCACTGCGCTTGGCAATAAACTTGTACCGGTGTGCAGTACATCTGTGTTTGTCACAATGTGCATTTGGTAAATGTGCAAAGGCTGCTAAATATCAGTAAGATGTAATTCCAGTTAGGAATTTGAAAAAAACAGATTTAAAAATCCTACCCACTTTATTCACTTGGAAGCAGTTTTCTGTAAAGTGCCAGGGGAAGTTCTTTTAAAGAAGGGGTTCTCAAACTGTGGGTGGAAGTCCAAAAAAGGGGCACAGAGTGTTTTAGTGCAGTAAGTTTGCTTGTCTTATTTTAAGCTTAAATTAACATTTATCAGATCAAATGATAGATTTAGAAAAAAAAAAACATTGATATATATGTGCCAAAATAAGTGTACAATACAAATAAATGTAGAAAATGACAAAGATGGTCTCGATTTGGTCTTGATGAGCCATGGTCTGGGTCTTGTCTCGGTCCCGACGTTCAGAGGTCTTGGTTTCTTGGTCTCAATTAGAACGGTCTTGAATACAACACGAGTGGAGACTCAGAGCATCAAAAACAACAGTGAAACATATAAAACATTTTAATACGTTGTTTTTGGCACATTTTCAAACAATAGTAACACGGTGATCCAAATATGATCCAAATAAGTGGCAGCAGTTAATACCTCATAGAACTAAAATATCCCCTCTTAAGCCATAGTTACTACTTGATCTAAATCCAAACCGCAACCTATTTTAACCCATATTTAAATTCTAAATCCTGTTTTTGGCCTGATAATAAAGGACATCATGGGGATATATATGTATACAGATTAAAAACAACTCAATAATTCGCTTGCAGAGTTCATAAAATAAAAAAAAAAGAACAAGAAAAAGTAAAAATCCATTTTCGTTTCATGTCATAGTGGACTCTCCAACTCAATGCCAGGTTAAAATGGAATGAGAAAAGCAAGATGGACAAATAAAATCTCATATGAAGTCTTCCTAATAAAATGTTCCAATATCTCACTGGAGGAGTTATAGAGTTATGAGCCTTCTTCTGGTGCCTGGCCCGGCCTCCCCACCAGCATGTTGTTCTTCGGGGTGCAGCTCTCCGGCTCCATCGTCATCACTCGCACAGAATACCCATGAGCCTCTGCTGCCCAGGAGCGGTCCAAGTCCACCAGCCCCATGCACTGTTTGCCTGGAGAGAGACAGAATCATGTATCAGCCAAGAGTGAAGAAGGGATAAAAGTGTAAATACGACAATTCAGGGGATGTGCTTATAGACTAGAGACCAAAAACAGCATTAGGTGTTTTAAAGGTGCTGTATTATGTAAAACTGACTCTTGTGAACTTTAAGCCGTGTTATAAGGTTGTTTGGTAGACTGTGATCCTCGTTTATCGCGGGGGTTATGTTCTAAAAATAACTCGCGATAGGTGAATTCCGCAAAGTAGTCAACTTTATATTTTACAATTATTATATCTGTTTTAAGGCTGTAAAACCCCTCACCACACACTTTATACACTTTTTCAGACAGGACAGTTACAACCCTTTCTGCATCCTTCTTAAAACTTATTGCTGCTGTCGTCCTTTTGTTATTTTCCTCCTTCTTTATGTAACAAACCAAAGATTCATTTATCCCGTAATGGAGCCCTACAGCGCAGAGTCCTGCATGAGTCCATTTTTGGAGACCCCCAGTACAGCACCACGCTCGCCCGTTAACCTGAGATTATATCAAACTTTTGCGTCGCATACGCCACAGACTGAACCAACAATAAACCAGGACTAAACCAGGACTAACCTAGGACTAACCCAGGACTAATCTAGGACTGATTGTAGGACTCAAGAGAAGGACTAATCCAGGACTGAACTAGGACTAAACAGGAGTAAACCAGGACTAAACCAGAACTGAAACAGGACCCACTATCGGGATGGGCTCGGGGGTGACAGCAGGAGAAAGGACCCATGCAGAGCTCCGCACCTCACGAAGGTAAGGACGGCAATTGCCCAATCGCGCTTTGTGGATAAACTGCTCGGCGTTCTCTCCCTTAAGTCCAAGATTAATCCTAGTTTAGACCTAGTTTAGTACTGACCCACCTGTGTGTAATTACTACCTGCCCGTAATACGCAATACGCATTCATATGCTGTAAAAAATAAATAAATAAAAGCATGCAAAATTGCACACAAAAAAAAAAAAAAAAGAAGCGAAACCGTGAAAGGTGAACCGTGATATAGCGAGGGACAACTGTACTGTGGTCCAAAGCAAGACAAATGATCTGTGACTGCAACTTTATAACGACTAAAAGTGCTACAGAACATAATTAAATAAAAACAATAAAACAAGATATGACTAAAAACAGATTCTAATAAAATCAATAAAACAACATAGAACCTAATAAAAAGAACTAATAAAATGTCAACATCTCAAACTCTGTCATAATCCAAAGTGAACAAGTAGGTTTTAAGATGAGATTTTAAAAAGTGTGCAAACAAAGTCTTCTTGCCAAAACGCTCCTTGCATTTGCCTCTCTACATGAACTTTGGAGTGTGTTTTCTGTTTTCCTTTGACAATGTTGTCATCTTATCAGAAATCATACCTGAAGTTGTGTTTTGTTTCATTCACATTGTAGTTGTCAGTTTAACAGCTAATCTTTACCATTTGTTTAATAAGGATTGCAAATTCCAGGGCTGAATTTTTCATAACATAGGTCAGAAAATAATAGTCGAGTAATAATATGGGCTATTTAAGCTTGAAAAATGCCCTCTGAAAACTCCAATAAATGGAGAATGGAGTGATAAAATCTATAGTGCACAAGTGAAAGTTATTGTTATTATGGTAACACTTTAGTTTAGGGACGACATATTATTCTCCAAGTGATAATTGGTATGTTAGTTAGTGGTTCTGCGGGGGTTAGGTGATGTGTTTATAAAGCACCAGCAGACATTGAGGTAATAGTGCCAGATTTTTTCCATGTAGTTGAAAAAAAATTGGTTGTTTTTACCACTAACGATACATAAATATATTGTATATTGTAAAAACAGCTCTTTGGGTTCAAATAAAACTACTGTGCGCTGTCTGCATCAAATTATAGACTGTTTTATTCATCCTCAAGGAATCAGGAAGTGCGGTGTGAAAAATGCTAGTTGTACTTAGCACTACTATTGTTAAAAGTTCTTCAAAAAATTCATTCTGGTGAATAAATAGGTTGCAAGGAGTGGGTAAGAAAAGAGGAATAACTTTGGATTTTGAAAAGAATTGGAAACAAAAAGAAAGAAACAAACAAAAAAAAAAAAAAACACTACAAACTCCACTGCTATCGAAATAAACATTTACAAATATTCAGTTTGAAAAATCTGCTGTGGGTCTGGGAATTCAGCATCTCTATAAAAGCAGAGGAGCTCCTTGGTAACACGGAGGGGCCTGACATCGCTGCATTAAATAAAAATCAGATACAGCACTTTTAAGATAATGCCTAATAACATCTGTATGAACCAAAAACATTCGATTTTTATGGAGAGATCGCTAATGGAACTGAAAGTTGATGACTAAATAGTGGTTAATTCAGTCATACAGAATGAATATGTATTGATAGTTTGCAGTGGCATCATGCTGGGGGTGTTCTACATGCATCTTTATACGTGCGTCAAGAAACTTTTATGATTGTATGAAAGAAGAAGAAAAAAAATGGATTCAAACAACACATTTTCAGGAGCTTGTGATGAGCGCGAGACTGTGTGAGAGACTTATTTAACAGTACAAATCATCTGTCATGTTGTACTTCCGGCTAAGTCAGCTCTTTATGTTGAGATTGTATTAAAACAAAGCTTTGACTAAAGTCTAACAAAACCTCAGACAGTGCAGTACCTACAGTTAGTATTAAATCCCCATGGAATGTTGATGGGATCGCCGCTAAGTATCAATAAAGACTACAAAAGTACTGATTAACTACTTAGGAAGTCTATTACTACTAGTTATCCATGAATATGTGATCCATAAACAAAAGTATTACTGCAGCGCCAAGATTGTGGACTGAAAATTCCACAACAATTACACCAGATCCACTCAAATCCATCGGAATTAACTATTTGTTTGCAACCAGTCTGTTGGATTTAGGAGAAAAATTCCAGTTTTGAGTCATTAATTTGATAAGTGGAGGAGTAGCTTTTAGATTTGATAGAGATAAATGATAAATACTTGCTTTGCCGACAATTTCACAATACATTTGGTACTTAAAGGGCCACTAAACACCAAAATCTCCTTTTTTCTACTGATTAGCTGTGTAAATGTAGACAGGATGGCGCCACATAGTGCCTCCGCTCAATTTAATTTTTCTCCAAGGACTAGGTCAGGAATCGGAATACACTAGACGGTTTGTAAGAACCCCAGAAGTTGTAGACTGCGCCCTGAACAATCAGTGAAGAGCTGAACCAACCTGAGTTGCGATAGCAGACTGCATACAGTATCCTCCTTTGGACTTCCTTTGTTAAATACAAACTTCGCATTTTTTATTGCACCTTTAATTCACAAGTTCATCTCGCAGAAATGACAATGATCGTTAACAGACATGTTCACTCTATGCTTTGTTTACTTGGACACCACTAAGTGTTCCAGCGCATTACATACGTCACCAAATAGCAGCGATTGGTTAAATAAAAAAGTACATGCCTACCGTCGAGCAAACAAATCCTAATGCTGCGAGGTCAGATGGTTTCCATGAAGTGAAACCGGCTGATGAATCAGGCTAATGTGAATGGGTCTGAAACACCCGTGGCCTTTTTTTGGCATTTCAGTGCAAACTTGTTAGAACTAACAGCCACCAACGAGTCAGATGTCAGAGGGTTTTACATGACGAGCACAGCCACTGGCGTCTACGGGCGATACGTGAGGAGCCCCTCTCAGCCCCGCCTTCACCTGGCACCACCAGGCATCACGATGTCCTGCTGTGTCTGGAGAAAAGGGAAACGGCGTGATCCGAGCACAAATGTCACAAACTCTGTTTCAAAGTCTGGAGCACACCAGTCTGCGACATGTTGGATTGTTGTGGCTGTCAGTCGGCTGTCAATCATTGCCCCACACCCGCTCCCCCCAACCCTCCGGGCACCACCCACTCTTGAAGATTTTTCAGATTTTGCTTAGGGGCGGTGTAAAGCTTTGGGAGGTGTTTAATGGCTCTTATTACGCTATTTTATGATCTCTGTTATAATGTTTCATCACCAAAAACACACCTGGAGTTGTGTTTTGTTTCACTCACTAGTATAGACTTGTATGTTCTTTTCTCAAACACAAAACACCACTGCTCCACTGTGTTTTTAAACTTCATACACTTTCAATAGAATAATTTGGATGATTTCAGCCCTGGAAATGCCTATCTCTACTGAACGAAAGCTAAAAAAAAAAACCTAGCTCTTAACTCGAAAACTAATACTTCATGACATCACAAGGTGGGACAGAGCATTTTGAGCTTTGGAGATGTAGAGAGACTAATAATAAAGAGTTACTCAATGTGTGAATGCAACAAAACACAACTCCGGATATGTTTTTGATGAGGAAACAACATTGTAAAACGTCTTAAAGGTCACAAGAGTGCATTTTGTGTAAACACAGGATCTTGAACTTTTATAATTCTGTTGTGAACTTACACCTAAGTGCCACGCCTGCTCAGGATTTGACAACTTTGTACTCAAAAATATCAACAGTCAAGTGATAAAACACCTGATGAACTGTGATGAAAAGCTGTAAAAACTCTAGCTTTTGATAGCAGCTCATTATAGAAAGAAAAGAATGCAACAAAGAGAAAGAAACATCATCAAGTATTAGATGAGGTCATGTTTGTTTCTGTATATTTGAGTCCTACTTGGCACTTTATTTTTGCTATTTAAATTATTTAGAATTTAATTTATTTAGAATGTAGCTGTTTCCTCTTTGTTATTATATTGTAATGTGTGAGCTACTGTGTCCAAGTAATTTCATTTGTGAAAAACGGTTCAGGTCGAAATGTATTCAAAAGCTGTAAATAAGACATAACATGATATTTTATTCTGCCCTCTTCTCTTTAAATGTTAATTTCATGATGATTATTTATGTTTTCATTGTTTTGGGTTGTGATTTTAATGTCTTTCTTATTCTGTAAAGCACTTTGAATTACTTTGAGTATGAACTGTGCTATTGATTCATAGCCTGATTCATGTGCTGGTTTCA